CTGCTGTGGTGGTAGTGCTGCTCCTCCAGCCCTGCTGGTGTGAACACTGCCTGCTTTGCTGGCAAAGGCTGAAGCCCTGAAGCAGGCTGTGACTGGTGGCAGCTCCCTGGCTGCCAGATCAGCCTCTCAAAGTCACCAGCTCTGTGCTGGCCTCGAGTTTACACACACGCTCATGCTGTATTTACCAAGGTCAAGTAAGCTGCACACATTCTTTATTTACCAAAAAAATATCCATGTCTGGGTGGCATGAACCCAAAGGAGGAACTCTGAAACTGCTTCCTGCTGCTGGAAAAGGGCAGTGCCTGGATGCCTCCCATCACATCAGTCTGGACTGAGCTTGTAGCCACTGGGTGAGAATTAGACCATCCCTCCAGCCATTCCAACCCAGCTTGTGGGAAGGAGCCTTGACAGGGCTCCAGCAGAGCCAGCAGTAAAGGTGTATGATAGAGGCCACCTCTGCACACTGATTTCTGGTCTTACTCATTCCCATTTTTATCAGCCTTTAGGCTGGTTAAGTAATTGATGTGGCCAAAAAAGAAAAATAAAGTTTGGGCATAGTTAAAGATACATAAATAATGCCATTAAGTAAAAGGGATCCACAGCTTGCACAGTAATATCTAAAGCAACAGATATCATCAGGGATCCGTGTCTTCTCCCAGGTAACAAGTGATAAAACAAGAGCAAATAGCCTCAGGTTGTGCCAGAGGAGGTTTAGATTGGATATTAGGATAACTTACTTCATTGAAAGGATGGGCAAGCATTGTAACAGGCTATCCTGGGAAACTGGTGGAGTCACCAACCCTGGGGGGATTTAAAAGACATACAGATGTGGTACCTGGGGGTGGTTTGATGGTGAACTTGGAAGTGCTGGGTCAACAACGATCTTAGAGGTCTTTTCTAACCTTAATGATTCTGTGATTCTCTCCTAGCCACAACTCAAAAGCCATTTTAAGTTCTTGTGAGAGTTTAGGTTTTGCTAATCACCTAGCAAAGGATTTGGAGGGTGTATCAGGTTTCCTCCCTCTTTATCTCCCTTGTCTCTCCTCTGCCTATGAATGAATAGGGAATGAAGAAACAAAGGGCAAATGCTCCAGGTGGAGCTCCCTGTGTTTCCCTGCCCCAGCAGCAACCCGCCAAGCCCTCATGGCTGAGCTACAGAAGCCCCAAAAAGATTGAAATAGCTGCCCTGGTCTTGGGGCTCTGCTGTTTTTTGATGCTCCTCTCTTTGCTGATTTCCCAGGATATAAGAGAGAGAGAGAGATCATGTTTCTAGGGTGACATCAATCCACTCCCATTTTAGACAGGTGGTGGCTTGTGAGCAACCTCAGTGAAATGCCACTTGCTCCTGGAGCTTGGACAGAGAGTTGGACATGCAGCATCCTTGGTGCAAAGGTGCAAAAGAGAAGCCAATTTGAGGATCTTTTAAGTAGCACCATACTCCAGTTTGATGTGCTCAGATACACCAGAAAGGATGGCAAGCCATCAGTCAAATAAGACAGACATCTCCAGGGAATCTGAGAGGGAGAAGCACACTTTGTCTACTTCTTTAACATTTTTAGGCATGGAGAATGTACTTTGAACACAAGGAGTGCTTTTATCTGTAACTATCAGGGCAAGCTGGACAAACACCATTATCCATGACCTGAAAAGCAAACCTGGAGCCCCAGTTCAGCAGAGCTTTTATTATACATAGTTATTGAACACATGTGTAAGCCCCATTTAAACTTATAAAACTTAAAGATGCACTCACATTATTTGTTCAACAAGGATCAGCTCAGGGATGTACTTAGAGTACTTCCAGGGTTCAATAAAGTCGCTCCTCACCTGCCTTCTATTCTCATTAGTTATATACTCATTAAGAAAGTTCTTCACTTTTTCTGCATCTTCTTTTATAGTAAAGGCTCCCCACAACAGCTGTAGACAAGATTCCTCTCCTGTTTGAGGGCATATAATCCTTAGCATGGGCAATATAAACAGGCTCAGCTGCATAAAACAAACTGGATTTTGCTGGTACTTTTTCCATATCTAAGAAAACCTACACTAGTGGGGTTTTTTTAAACATCAAAAACATTTGGCTGCATAAACAGCCAGAAGTGGTTATATACTTTGTAGGGTTATTGGAAGTTAGAATAGTTGCTCATGAACATACTGAATGGATTTTACTGGTTTCCCATAATGGAGCCCAGGCTGGCATTGCTTTAGACATTTGAGTGCAGAAGAAATGTCAAGCATGCACTCATCCCCCTGACTGCAGTTCAAATCAAACAAACTGGGCTAGACAAGCTAATAACAAGCTCTGTTCACTCCAGAAAGGCAGCTATGGAAATATGCCTCATTTTATATGTTATTGCATGCATGATCTGAAAAGGCCACTGAAAAAGCAACAAGCACTGTTCTTTCTTTTTTTTTTTCTCAAAATGACCAGTTTCAAGCTACTTATTGAACAAAAAAACCCAAACCAACACATTGTACTTTCAGCGTGGATGTGTTCATAATTCAGTTTTCCCTGTCATAAATTATGATTCATGTAACTAGAATTTCCTTACTAATATAAATTGGGAACATATACAGAAACCAATGTTACCAAAACTTGAAAGTAAATTAGAGCTAATTTTTGGGGGTTAACTTATGAAGGCAATAGGACATGCCTTGTTGTTCGAAGTTCTAGTGTCAAAATAAAGAGCAAGCACAATTTATAGTTTGCTTCTTATATAAAAATTAACATTTAAACTTTAATTTTTTTGTAGCTATATTTAAGAGATGGCACGAAGACAGAAGAACACTGTGAGGTCTGGTGCTGCTCTGTCTTCAGGGTGGTTTGCCATTTCCCTTTTTAGAAACCAAAAGCCCCTTTTCGGTTGGCGTCTGAACAACTTTATGGGGTTTCTCAGTGAAGATGGGAGGAAGGCACATTCCCTTCCATATACATCTCTCTGTGCTATAGGAAATCACCTTGAAGTAGTCCTGGCGTGGCTGGAGATGCCTCCATAACTGAACTCCCAAAATCAGCAGCCCGGTGCCTTGAGTGAGTACATACTAACATATGTACCTCTTTCTTTCTAAATTCCTACGCCTACATTCTAAATATTTACCCTAGCAAACATTACCCAGCCTATGGATTCCAGCTGCAACCAGCATGTGCCTCCCTCTGCGTGGATGGCCTTTCCAAAGGCTCCTGGGTGCCCAAAGCATCAGACACTGCTTCCCTCCAAAACAGCTTCTTATCATAGAAACACAAAAGGTCACGGGAACAGTTTGCAGCCTCTCTCAGCAAAGGGAATAAATGTGCAAACAAAGCCATTAGCAGTTTCCAAAATAAACCCCTATTCCTGGTCGCCAGGACCGCAGAGTGCCACATATGCACTGCACAGAAATGCCTGCTCACGTGTCAGCTGAGCAGCTGTGGAGAGCTGGGAGCCACAGGAACACTCTCCCTTCCACCACAAAAATGCCACCTTAATTAATTATTTTGATTCTATGAGCTTTAAAGCATTAAAGATAAGCACGGGGAGATCAAGAGAAGGGTTTTCACCTATCAGCCAACTTTATCGCTGTCTCCAATTAATACTCACATACAGCAGGTGTCACTTCAAAAAAAAAAATTAAAACAAAACAAAACAAAACAATTAAAAAGCTGTCCTGGAGTAGCATATTCCTGAAAGGACACACACACAGAAATTACTGGGGAGCCATCTGTGCCACAAAAATTTCAGCAGAGATGCAGCGGCCAGAAAAAAATCAACAGCAGTGAAAGCAAACATTCTGAGGTGAGATATGGCAAAAATGTTTGAGTCAGCACTAATAAGGATTTTTCCTGATTATTGCTCTCCTTATCAGGCTGGCAGGGACAATTCACCCCTCTTGCACTTCCCCAGTGCTCCAGGGCAGACGCCCCTCTCTCCCCTCTGGCATCCCTGTTGGAATCGCTCCCGCTCCCCGAGGCTGTCTCGTTTGTCTGTCGTCTCTCCCAAAGTTTGTTTTCCTGCTGCTATGGTTCTCCCGTTGCTGGTATAAACACCAGCAGAAGTCTCCTGCGTGACTCAGGCTCAGTTTGCTTTGGTAGGAACTCCTTGTCACATCTGCAAGACCCAAGCCAGGTCCTCCAAACATCAACCTTCTCAAACCTGGTCTTGCCCTCTCCCTAAAAATTTCACATGGATTTTGTAGCATCAAACCAAAGATTTATCAGGAGACCATCCTCATTATCTTTCTCAAATCTCCCACTAAATCTCTTACCTTCAGATTACAGAGCTCATGGAAAAGACAACACATCTTCTGGTTTAAAAGGTTCCTGCTATCTTCTGGCCAGAAACAAATAAACAAATCCAGGTGAAGCCCGGTTTGAAACAAACATTCAAACAGCTGAGGAGGAATTAAATAATTGATAGTGACAGGTATTAATGGGGCAAACAAATTTACGGAGGCTGCAATTATACCCAGGTTGTACTTGTTTGAAATGTTAACTGTCTGACGAGACTTAACACCCAGCTAATGAGCTTTTAAAAGTAATTCCCACATGCCACCACCTTCCTTTGCTCACAGAAGGGAAGCAGAGTGTCTGGCAATTGCCATGGCCATCAATTCAGGACTAGCAGCTAATCCTGTTTTATTACCATCATTAGCCAAATACATCGACCATCCACACAGCAGCTGTCTGCTCTTCCTCTTTCTCCCACTCTTCCTCTCCCTTCCTGCTCTCCAGCTTCGGTGTCTCCACATATTAGATAACGCTGTCAGTCCACCCAGATTACTCTCTCTGAGTGTTCCTTTTCTCCCTGATATCCAGCCCACTGGAAAGGTGTTCAGGTTATGCAGCTGCCTTGTGATCCTGCACGTACACCTCCTCCACCTGGAGCTCCAGGAGCTTCCCCGCAGCTGCATGAAGTTCTGAAAATTAAACTCCCTTTCCTGAGGCTGGATATGGCCAGTCTTCCCCAAAACCTACAGTTCCTCTGTAGCCAGCAGCTCCTACCTGGGCTCCGCTCAGCCATCCTCACCACTGCTCTTCCACTTTGCCCTCTCTGTGAAGATATCATTAAACTCACACAAAAAGGGTCTAAGATCAAAAAGTGTGTATGAAAAAAAAAATCCTTACAATTTGACGTGGCCAAAAAATACATTTAAAATACGAAAGACTACACACTTTCTTCTTGCTTCTATTAAAGAGTCTGCACTGGGGAGGGGCTGTGGAGATTTGCAACACCTGGGAGGTGAAAATGTGCAAAGACCTACACTAGGAAACAAAACTGGAGAGAGTAATCCATGAACATTCAGTTTATGTTGTTTCAGAGAGAGGTGAGCGGAGTAAATGAAAACCGTTGTTAGAGCCATAGGTGAAACACTTTGCAGGCTTTATTTATTTAACTTCAGCTGGTCCACGGACTTCTTTTTTTTTTTTTTTCCCCGAAAGGCTTTTCATTAAAAAAAGGTGGCTAAAGAGTACTGGAGTTATTTTACCTGCATGGCAAGGAGCAGGCAGCCTTCCTTCAGCCTGCAGAAAGAAACAAAGAACAAACTCACACCTGTGTCTCACGCCAAAGTAAGTAAACAAATGCAGTGAGTTATGGGACCATTCTCTCAGCTGCCTTTGCTTGTTTGCTCGCCCAGCTCCTTTTCTTCATGGCAAGGGGCCATTTTAAAAAATCCTTTGTCTGCTACTATTTACATTACAAAGTGTGTCACGGAGAGTACATACCAACATCTTCAAGCCCAGGTGTCCAGTGCTGGGTTTCTCAGTGAGTGCTGTGCAGAGCTATCCAGAGTTCTCAGAGGAAAAACTTCATCAGACCATTTTTTCCTCAGGTGTGAGTTACCTTTCCTCCATTATGAATGCCCCAGGCCAGATACCCAGTTTTTGATCCATTCAAAGCCTGCCCAGACACCTGGTGAGCCACCCCAAAAATTTCTGAGTGTATCAATCCTTGCTGGGTCAGCACTGGCGATGCTATGCCAGGAATCCTGTGATCCTGCTGCTGCCTGAAAACCAGGAATATCACCTGATGAGAGGAGAAGAGTAATGACTAGGGGGGGACGACAGAAAAATACCATAAAATAACCTTACCAACATCATATGCTAACTTAGCTGACTAAAAGCACTTTATTCCTGCATTCTTCACCTGGCATCAAATGACAGAACCAATAATGTTATCATGTGCCAGCCTGCACAAGCCAAGCCTCGCTAATCTCTCCTCACTCGTTCTCCCTGCGCTGTGCCGCAGTGTGCCGCTGTCCCAAGGAGCTGAATTGCCCCTTTGTTATGTCAGGTACAGTTACCAGCCCTGGTACAAACCCATTCCTCCTCCCTAGAGTGCCCATTGTCCCTGGTTGTTTACTGCGGGCGCTCTCGCTGGGACATCTGGTGACTGGCAGCACTGGGCATTGCCCCGCTGCCCAGCATCCTCAGCAGGGCAGTGAAACAAAGCCCATCAGTGTCTCTTTGTACACCAGCATCTCAGATGAGCAGGGACAAGACAAATGAGGTTGCTGAAGCAGTGTCTTATCCTTCATTTCCTTCGTGGTATCGCAGCCCTGGATGGGAAACCGCCGTCTCCGTGCAAGAAATTTGGCTGACTGCATCCTGCACTGGCCTAGTCACAGCATAGAAAGTGATGCTCAGGCAACCCAGGGCCACAGAACAGCTTTGTGTTCTGTTTGCAATATATATTCTCACGTCACGTCGTGTGATGCAGCGATCCCAGGCCAAAACCATAATTCAAAACAACCGGCGGGTGGGGGGGTTTCAAAGTGAAATAGAGTGGTGGGAAGAGTTTTCAGACACTCAGCACTGGCCTCGGTGCTTGTTGAACCCCAGCTTCACCACAAGGGTCTGTGACAAGAGGCAAAGCACTTTGGAAAGGTCCAACCAATTTTCCTGCTTGATGGAAAGGGTTTGTGCAGCATTTATCTCTGTGCAGAGAGCAGGAGACTGAGGAGCAAGGAGAGCCATAGGATGTGGGGTTGTCAGGGAATGGGGGAAAGTAAAAGTGAATGAATAAACTGCTGTACTTATTTTAGTTGCATGAGACAACCTTACAGACAGAAAGCCACAGGCATAGCCCTGGGGAGCAGCCAAACAAAACTCATCATGGCAGAGCAGGAGAAAGACATTATTAGGCAGAAAGGAGGAAACAGAGAGATGAAAAAGTTAAAGAACTGGGTCATTTCATCAGCAAGGTGATCCCTTTCCTTAAATTAACTGCATTTATACGGTCTGTAACAGTTTGTAATTATGTTTGTAATTGTTTTATTCCTTACGGGTGGCATGATTGAAAAGCACGTGGGAGTGGCTGAGTCAGATCCATCCCCCTTCCCACAGGAGCAGCAGTGGATGCCTGGTCCTCACAGCTCCTACCAACTTCCTGGGCGCTTTCTCAGCGGCCTTTTTCATCTGAGTCACTGCATTTCATAGCTAGTGATGAATTCAGCCTTCGTTCATTTTCTTAGTTAATTTTTAAAAGTGATTTCTAATTCTGTCCCACACAATATCCTGTGGCAATGAGTCCCACCATTAATTTTGTGGTGGACAAAAATACTTTTGCCTTTACTAGTCTTACCTGCTGCTTGATCTTTTTACTGCTTATGTTTGGTTTTATTGTAACAATCAATAACTGTGCTCTAATTACATCTGCCTTATAGACCTGACCAGGTTTCCCTCTCTCCTCCAGATCAGTAGGAGGATTGTTCAGCAGGCAGTTTTGGAGAGAGGATATTTCCTCAAGGAGTAGGCAGCAAGGAAGAAGGCAAAAAAAAAAAGGAGACATTAAGACTAAGGTAACGGAAAGACCAAGGCTGTGGGAATTGAAAAGGTGTGAGGCACAGCTTGGGGTTGAGTGATTGATGTGAGGTCTTTAAGCAAAGCCCAGAATGTGATGAGTTTCATTTTCATAAAAAACACTGCAGTCATTATGTGGTGGCCAGAAGGCTGTACAGCACTAAATATTGCTGATGTTGAAGACCTTCTTTTTAAGAGCTTGGATCTTAAAATATCATGTGTGGGCACCAGCAAGCAGTTATTTGTGGTGAGTGGTTACCAACGGACAGAGAGCCCAGCTGCCATAAACATTGCAACTTTATTTTCTTCCTTTGTACTGCTATTCCAGAAATGTGCCAAATAAAACACGTTCCTCCGAACAGACCCACTATTATTTTATGGTCTCGCCATGCTGGGTTAGAAATTGCAGTGTCATGAAAACATCCTTTAAATAAATAATAAAACACGATATTCCTAAGACAGGGTCTTTCATCTTGAGGGAGCCTGCACAGCCTCACCAACCCCCCACCCCTTCCACTGCCGGGACAGGTACCAGCCCTCACCAACATCGCTCAACGCTCCAGGGAGCAAATGTGGAGTGAATAACGTGTGGCATTTAACAAGCAGTGCAAAGGCAAGGAGAAAAATTAAAAAAAAAAAAATAAAATCCAATTATCCTTGCTGGGAAGTGGGCCAAGAGGCTGGAGTGAGAACGTCAGTGGGTCGGAGCTCCCCAGGGAGGGGGGGTGACTCCAGCTCCTCATTGCTCCAAGCAAATTGATGAACGTTACGTTTAACATCGTCAACACCCAAATTCTGGAGGTTTTGTGAGTGGTTTTCCTCCCAGCTACTGCCTACGTGGTATCTGACATTGTCCTGGTCCTCCACAGAGTTCAAACATGAGAAAGGGCGCAGCGTTACTGAGCTCTGTGAGCTTATAAGTGGCACTTGGGACGTGGTTTAGTGGTGGACTTGGCAGTGGTGAATTTATAGTTGGGCTTGATGATCTTAAAGGTCTTTTCCAACCTAAATGATTCTGTGAAATTCAAATTCCACTTGACTTCCATCCTCTTCGTTCATCTGCAAAAAAAAGAACTTTTTCCTATTAACAAACCCATAGCCCATGAAAATACACACTGTGCCTTCTGCATCGTGGTTTACATACCACTGTGGGTCTGTTTCTGTAGAAGTAAAATTTTTACCCCTTAGATTTTACAATCTGAATTGCAACAAAGCAAGGTAATGGACGTAAAGGAATGGAAAGAATAAAACGAAACTCAAGGCATAGAAAGAAACATGAGCTTATAACAAATGCACACAACTTTACCTGACACATTCAAATGAGTCAGCAAAAAAAAAAAAAACAAATAGAGAAAACAAATTCAATGCCCAGTTATTTTAAAAAAAAAAATATCTTAATTTTTAGACTGGACACAGCTTTATTCGTGATCCAGACTGAGAAAGGCAGCTGAGAGCAGAGCCTCAGAGCAAAATGCACCTCCCCTCCAGTGACTTACTGCAAGTGATGTTTTCTTGGCATGGCCTGCCTTCTCTGGGGAATTGTCCAGCCCCTGTCCCTGGTTAGAGTGTTTGGGCATTGGGAACACCCCCGGATAACATTCACTTCCAGCTGGAAATGTGTCAGATCTCTGAGATCATAGTCCCACAGGGGAGGTGAGAGGACATCCAAACCCTGATGAAGCATCAGTTGCTTCTGTGCAAAGACTTAATTTTTTTCTTAATAAAATAATAGAGAACTTGTAAGGATCACCTATTTCAGAGTAAAACCAATCATTTTGCTCCACTGGACTTCATTCTAGGAGTTAAATACATCATTCTGTGAGTGAAGTAGTTTAAATATTATGTGATCCAACAATAAACACAAATTTCAGTGATTACTTCAATTTTAGTGTCCCAGCAAAAATATACCTTCACCTTTCATACTTATTACACACACTTAGGAAAGAAAGGGAAAAAAACATGTTTCTTTTTTTCCATTTTACTCACCTTACTTTTTCTCTCAGGTGTGGAGTGACATTTCAGCTAAGGAGGCAGACCAGAGGACCATTTCCTCCATCATTATGCAGAGAACAGAGGCTGCAGTTTTAAAATTTATCTGGTTTTTTGCACCAGTGACAACGAGAACAAGAAGACCATGCCATAAAGCTCCTCCATGCCCTCTTTCCAAATTCTGCTGCAGCAGGAATGCCAGTAAAAATATCAGTTTTCTGTTGGGCTGTGTGGAGCAGTGTTCCCCTGGAAGCAGTGTGGAGGCTCCAGCTGCCCATAGGCACAGCCCCGAGCCAGGAATGCTGCATGGGCTGCATACAAAGTTCTCCTTACCTGTGGATTTGGAAAATTAAATAAAATAAATATGTTTTAAAGAATTCCCACTAAGTGAATTCTCACTTTGGGAAGTATTTGGGCTTGGGGTTTTTGTATAACAATAATAACAACAATAATAATAATAATAATAATTGCATTTGGAGCAGTATGTCAGAGGGCTTCTCTTAGGAAAGCAGCCTGAGATTAATGGGAATGATACAGAAAGCACTTACAGATACAGAATGAATGACCAGGAGATAAGGAGGACAGGAATCTGCTTATCCAGGGTTTGTGCAGAGGACCCAGTGCATTTTAATGCCCTGTTCATAACTGGTGGTGGGAAAAGCTGAATACACTCAGACCTTTAATTACCTAACTGTTCTTTTGGATTAGGCAGGCAGCATGCAAGAGGTGGTGTTAGTGCTGCAGCAGATGAGATCTGCAGGTCCAAGCTCACATCTGATTATAGGTTCAAATCTGTGGGTGCAAAATTAAAGGCTGAATTCCAACCAACTTTTAAAAGTTGCCTTTCAAGTGGTGAAACAAGAGCCTCCACCCATTCCCCAGCTGCCTGTGATTTATCTGAGCTGTAAACTTGCCCAGCATCACTGGCAGGTAAAGAGGCCCTCAAGCCTGGTATTCAGGGCTAGAGAGAGTTAAGGGTACTTTTCCATGTAAAGTGAGTTTGGGAGAGGAATGCCTTGAATTTTGATGATATTGGCCTGGTTCTCAGCTCCAGGGCGGTAATGCAAAGCAGTGCTACTGCATTCCACTTGCCAGGCTGAGGAGCAAGTATGAGCCACAAGTGAGCAGTAAAGGCAAGTGATTAAACAGCAGGGCTGCCCTCCACCTCCCTCCCAAAGGAGGGTGAGGAATGATGCAGCAAATAATACGATGCTTGCAACAGTCAGGCAGAAGCTGAAACGTTTTTAAAAAAAATTTACAGAGTCTTTTTTTGTTTCTGGTCTGTGAGACTCAGGCAAAAGCTGTTTCCTTCACGTTAGATGAGCTCTGCAGGATCATCTCCATTAGCAGACACTTTCAGTGGTGTGCTCCTATCAGCCAGCTTTACCAGAACTGGACCAGGACAATACCCACCTATTCTAAACCTAATTTTGAGCTCCTTGCAATTAGGAGCAGAAAGTAGGATGGTTTTGCAGGACGTTCTGGGAAAGCTGGGCACGGCTGAGAGTTGGCGCAGGAGACACAGCTTCTGGGCAGAAAGCTCTGAGGAGCTTTGCTCAGTGGTGTGCAGAGCTCAGTCTTTCCATTCAGAGGTCCAGGGCTGAACAAAATGCCCAAATCCTCTCTCACCCTGCAGAGAGCCACATGCTTGTTTTCCTGGGGTGGGGGGAATAACACCAGAGGCACTGGGATGACAATAGTCCCTTCAACTCTGCAGCTCAGATTTTGTCTCATGGGCAGGGCTGGAGCTGGAGGAAGGTAGAAGCTCTCTCTAATCAAACCCAAGGCTACATTCCAGGTTTTAAAGCACAGGTAAGACCCAGAGGGAAGCCTGCCCCACTCCCATATAATTTCCTTGTGACTCTCAGCAGTTCTGCTGCTCCACTCCCCTTCCCTGCTGGCACACACACCAGACAAGTGCTGTTTTTCCCAGCTTGTTCACCATGCTGGCACATCAGGGGAAAACAAAACAGATAAAACTATTCATGATGCCAAGGGGAGAGAGACATCTCTCATCTCTCTGCCAGCATCCAGCCATGCAGCTCCAGCTGACTTCTCCCACCAGCAATCTTTACTGCAGCAAATCCAGCTCTGCTTCATCCCTGTCACCTGGCTCCACTCCATGGGAATATGGCCTCTACCCTGTTTGCTCTCCCAGGGAGAAGCAGAAGTCCCTGCAGTCCCCCCCAAAGGGGACAGTGGCCTTGGGAAGGTCTATTCCATTTGATGACTTCCACTTCTTTACTGAGGACTGTCTGAGGTGCTGCTGAAAACCCCAAGGTAGCTTTTGGCTTCACAGACTTGAAACGGAACAACAAAAACTGAGCTGCATAGACCCAGGACAGTCAATAAGTGCCTTATGTTTGGGGAGCAAAGGACTGGACCATTCACAGTCTTCCTTGTGGAGAGATTCACCTGTTCATCCCAAAAATGCTTTTCAACCCTCTGCCATCACCAAGTAATCCCTCACAAAAACACAGAACCACAGAGTGGTTTGGGTTGGAAGGGACCTTAAAGATCATCTCTTTCCACCCCCTGCCATGGGCAGGGACACCTTCCACCAGCCCAGGTTGCTCCAAGCCCCGTCCAACCTGGCCTTGGACACTTCCAGGGATGGGGCAGCCACAGCTTCTCTGGACAACCTGTGCCAGGGCCTCACCACCCTCACAGAAAATAATTTCTTCCCTATATCCAGTCTAAACCAATGTTAGACTCCTGGAAACACAGAAGTTGGGCTAAGATTCCCCAGCCCTTAGATCTGCAGGTTTATGTGCTTTGAAACCCACTCAACACAATTAATTCTAGAATCAAAATATTTCACCTGATGTGAATTTGGAGGCGCTGGTAGCCAGGTGAAGGTGAGGTCCAGCATTTGCCACAGGAGGAGTATCTCTAGCAATTATTTCTAGTTTACATAAAGCAGCTTGTTGTGATTCAAATCCAAGGAGTCACAAGAGCTCACTCCGCTATTTTTATCTCTAAATGATGTATACCAGGAGGATAGATTTTTCCCTTTTCTCTTTTTTCTGTTGACATTATCACTGCAGATTAAGGCAAAGGTCTTTTAGGAACTACCTCCTTTTTGGAGCTTGATTCTGATGACTCTTCAGTCCTCAATAGCTTGAGATAGTCACTGGAAATCCTCACCCTCAAATCCTATATTTTGATAATATTATTCTCTTATATCAATGCTCCTTCAGTTTTCCAGGTAGACACCTATCCCAGGCTGCCAGCAGGCAGGTTAGGAATGCATCAACAGAGCTGAAGAGGAGAATCACAGAATCTGGCAAGTTAGAAGGGATGAGTGAGGCTGTAGGGAAAAAACCCACACCATGACAGGAATCAGGAGGAGGAGTGGTCCCTCTGAGTCTTTCATTGGCCATTTCCTTGATACCCATTATAGCTTTGGTGACATGTCTAATTTCAAATCCCAATTTTAATTACATTTAATGACACGTTTCTTTCCTCTGCCCGTTTTCTGCCTGATTACTCAAGATGAGCCAAAGAGCCAAACTTCAAAATTACCTCCAGTTTCCAAACCACCTTTCACACTTGCTGTTAATACCATTAGTATTTTACGTTATTCCCATAGATACATCACCAGGCAAACATACACAGTCCCTGCCCTGCAGAAATTTTGGTGCAGGCTTGAGATGTGACAAGGAACAAGCCCTAACAGCACTGGGGCTGGAGAGAGTGAGGTAATGATGTGCAGGCACGTGCACAGCTCGGCTGATTTCTGCTCAGAGATTAAATAATTTTTTTGTTGTTGTTGTTTATTTAATTATTGAACTCAGAAGAATTTCTAGCAATCCTCATGGGATCTGGGACCCACTCATGTCTATTGCTCATGTCTAAATTAAAAATGGAAAACAGATGGTGGGTTATTAGATGGCTGCAACAGAAGCTGACAATCTGTTCTGTCCCCACGTCGGCAGGGGAGTGAGTGCTGCAATATGTGGAATCCAGTCCTAGCTGTGTGTCACAGGTGTTGATCCAGTGTCTCTGCACAGAAATGAAGCAGCCAGATTTACGTCCTCCAGCTCAGCTTCGTGGGCTTGCTCTGAAGGTTACTCACAAAGCAAGAGGAAGGAGATCAAAGGCTTCGGTTAATGTGCATCTTGAAGCTTCACCAAATTGAAAACCCCTCATTGCAGACAGAATCAAACCCTGCTTTGTCTGTAGGAAATGGAAGTTGAGATAGTTAATGTTTAAAAATCCAATATATTAAAATATTACCAAATCCTTTGTTTTGCTGTAGCTGTGTTATCAGCAGAACCAAAGAGAATGCTGGTGACAAAAGACACAGGCTGAGTGAAGAAATCAGCATTTCAGGTAGTAAGAAATAAATCAGATTAACACCCAGGGAAGGGCAGTGCTGGACAGTGCTTGTGAGAGGAGGTGGACACAACTCGGGTGTGTTTCTGCAGTGAAGGACAAGGAAAGGCTGAGCTACAAGGTTTTTTTTTAATGGGTATGCAGTGTCTCCTTAAACAGCTTAGGGAACAAGATGTAGTGCCAAAATAATTTGTGAAATCATCCAGGTGATAGATAATCAATATTATATACTCCTGTCAGATACATGTGGTACACACGACTCACCTTGGCAGCGTTCATGCCTTGGGCTCCCTTGCAGAACAATCACTCTTTTTGCAGTCTCCCTGTCCCAAGTTGTCTTGTTGAGCATTTGACAAGTGCTTCAGATGTGAGAGAAATCCCTACCCAGCACTGCAGGGACACCAATCATTTGGGAAACCTTTCCCAACCTCACCCAACCAGTCAGGAGCATTTTCTGGGCCAAGCAAAAGTGACTCCAGACCCTCAGGGTGATGCTGTCCATTGGGGCTTATTTAGCAGAGACCTTTGGAACAGTGGGAAGGAATTATGATGCTGGTGAGGGTCTTGTGAGACCAGCATTCAGAACTCACCTCTGCCCCACTGAGACACTGCACAAGCTGTTTAATTCTGCTTTTCTCTGTGAAATGGGAGCAGTGTGATTCTTCCTCCCAAATGGAGGGAGATGCAACAGCAAGAGCATCACCACACAGCAGATGCTGCACAAGTGGGGACAGTGATTGCTATAGAGAAGTGCTTTAAGTTATAAAGTCCAGTGATCAGAAGATGAAGCCCTTTAAAGCTTTTTTCCTCACTACCCTGTGGCTGACGGGCCATGAGAAGCAGGTGGAGCATCCCACAGCCTGGGGCTTTGCTGCTGCTGGAGGTCAAATGTTCATAGATGGTCTTTCTTAGCAAATGAAGGCTGAAGTACAGCCTGAAAAGACATTTATTGCAATTCAGGAATCATGAACTTCAGCAGGCACTCCCTGCACTCTCAGCCTATTGAATACCTGCCAGGGAAGGAAACCTGCCATTTCTGTAGCAGCATGCATCTTTTGTTTGCCATGGTATTTTTCAGGGGGAACATTAGATCTGCCTTAGCAAAAAAATTAACATCTGGAGATTCTCAGTGTGGAAATAGCAGGTGATGGGTTTTGGCAAAGGACAAATCCATGACAAAGAATTTAATATAAGACGGGATAGCTCATGGGACCAGGACTTTAAACTTCCAACTGGGGTGTGAAATGGTGCTTACCAATAGTAAATGGTGGAGTATTGCTAAATGTTAATAATCTTTGCATCACACCACCATCGTCCTATTTACATATATATTAAAATGACCACGACTTTCCTGTTTGTATTTCCTCACTGGAAACATTCTGGGAAACAAGATTATTAATGAAAAATTCATAAAATTAAAGAATCATGTGGAAACATTGGAGGGCATTTTTAAAATGTGAATTCCTGGTTTGCAACCATTCCCATTTTCTCAGGGAATCTGCTTCCAAGAGCTGTGTTTGTGACCTGTGTTGGGTGTTCACAAAAATACACACACTATATCCACAATGATCCATTGCCTGGCAGCAGCCCACAGAAGCCTGTAGGGATGGGGAGTTTGAAAGTGTAAGATAGCTTTAATATATCAATATCCAGGCACCCTGGGGATTTTTTTTTTTCCTTAACATATTCTTGCACTTCTTGCAATGACGTATTTCATTTGCCTGTGGATAACACACATAGCAAATGAAAAATTAAGTTCTGCATTTCTGTTTTATACTTGCTCTGGACAACTGAGAACCCTGGCCTTTTTAAGCCACAGATTGTTTGGGACAGCCCAAGAATCAGATCAGGGAAAAGGAAAAGGTGAGAACTACATCTCTCTCCCCTTTAACTGGTCTAAGGGAGGAACAAATTAAACTGGAGTAGAAAATTGCTCCTAAGCCTTGAAGACCATGGGGCAAGAGAAGGAACATGTTCTGTCGTCTGAAAAACCAAATTACGTGAAATGCTAAAACCACAGGATTTGTTTACTACAGGAAGCACTTACATTTCCAGACTTGAGAGCGCTTTCTTCACAACCCTGATTAAAATTACTCATCAAAACATTGCACAGAATTAACTTCATTTCATATGGTGAACAATTATGCAGCTTGGGTGGAGTGGAAAATATCCAGCGCGTTATTAGTTGTGTTTAGCAGAGGCATGTGGCAGAATGTCTCCGTTTTCCTGTCTTGGAGCTGTGTGCCAGTGCAGACTTTTACCAAGAAAAGCAAAGGTGAGCTGGAAAAGCTCAGACTTTGAAACATCAACACAGGAGTGAGCAGCTGCAAAACAAGGAGTTTTTCAAAGACAGGTTTTTCTCCTTGTTCTTCACATAAACCCACTGCAGAAGCAAACTAGAGAAAATAGGCTGTGTAGTGCATGATAGAAGTACTTTGTTAAAGGACAAACAGCTATTTTTTCAACAGCTCTCTTGGATGTTACAGAGCTGGGACAGGGTGTAGATGAACCCTCCTGTTCTCAGCTCCTGCCCATGTGATGGTGCACTCACATGTGACAACCACATTTGAAAGGAAAAGTGTTTTTTTGACTTTGATTAAGCTGATTAAGGTGTTCTCCTCTAGCACCTTTTCCGTGCTTAACAAAGTCACAGGATTAGACTCCTCATGATGCCTTTTAGCATTTTGGTGCTGAAGAAAGCTTGACAGGCTCGCTTAGGGAAGAGAGATATAGAAAATAGAGCAAACTCAGCCACGGCTGGGACCTGAGTTCTGGTGCTGCTTGTTTTAGTAGCACAGCTTGGGCTAGGGCACTATTTTTCAAGTAACACTAATCCAGAGTGGATTAACATTTCACCTAAAGCATAATGGCTTATTGTCATAAATTCATCACAAAATTACTGCAATTATAAGTGAGAAACGCACTCCAAGAAAATAGACTTACTGGGGGGGGGAATATTCACTAGGGCACGCAGCTAAAAGAACCTCATGCTGACAAAGCATGTTAAAGATTTCATGTAGAACTCTTATCATGGCCAGCCTGTGTTTGCACAGCCTTTCAGTCAAATGGGTTTTACCAAAGGATATTTGAACAAGAAAAGAACCCTTGAATCAGGCAGACACCACGGATGAAAGACTCACAATTTTGACAAAGCTCGTACAGCTGAAGCTTAAAACAAAAGCATGAAACCCCTCCAGATTTGTAGCCAACTTTATTCCTTTCATAGCTCTGGCTTTCAAATACTTTGTGAAAAAAAACGTTGTCATAACAATAAAGCGTGAATAGTCAAATCCATGTATTCCCAGTTGTTGTCCCAAGCAAACAAGAAAAACATTTCACACTTCACTATTAATACAATGTCCCTTTGTCCCAACACATGAAAGAGCTATTTAAAACAAATAAATGAAGAGATAGCTACATTTTCGTGGAAGTTTGGAATTTTTAAAAAATATTCAATGTATTTTCACGTTTTCTTTTGCAATTGGATTTTTTGCACCAGCTCTGACCGGACAATACCACCAGATAATGCCAGAAGATATATAGAAGGGCAATACATTGTGTGTTTCAGTTGTCTGTCATCAACTGAGAATATATTAAGGTAATTAAGAGCCCTGCTAGTAAACCCTGGGGCCTCTGCCCTCGGGTGGTGAAGACTGGTGCCAATGCATTGACTGAAACATTTGAAGAACAGAATTTGTCCCAGGGTGTCAATCTGTAAATAGTTATTGATAGATGGCAGTTGGGCAAAGCCAAAGATCCCAGGGCCAACAAGGAGAAAGAGTTTGACTCGTTTCACCAGTGTTACATTTTTCTTCTTCCTGTAGACATTTGTATACAAGTTTTGGTGTTCATTTCATAAATGCACACTGTTCTTTTGTCATTAATTACACTGTAGCTAAGCCAAACATTGGAAGGTAGATTAAAAGAAAGGGATTCTGCATTTTTCTCCTACCTCTCCCTTTCTTTTGTGTCTTTGCAAAGTCTATAGCACTTTATACATAGACATAACATAGATCAACTGAGTCACAACCAGTACAGCCAGGTTCTGTGTACAGAACCTATCTCAATGCAGGATGTGTACTCTGCTCTGAATGGTGTGTGGTTTGCTGATTTTTAACATCTTAAGCATTCAGATTTTCTCCTAGGCTCCCTCAGAATTTTGTAGTAAAGATGATCTCTGAGTACTGAGAAAAAAAGTCTGCTTGATTTATTCATCATTCTCACTATTTGCTCTCGTGGTCCTTATTTTTATTCTCTGCTCTCACACTTTATGCTGCCCAAAGTAGCCAAAAGCTACCATTGTGAAACTACATAAGCAGGCAAAGTTCAGTATTGATAAAAGTTTGGCCTGCCTGTACCAATTCTTCATTTCTCATCCATTTTATCTTGCTCAATACAACCATTTCTTCCTGGCAGGTTAGTCTTACTTTATTATGTGGTTAATGTCACATTAAGTCTCAGAAGAACCCAGACTTTTATCTTTCCTGTGTTCCTCAATAACATAACATAACATAACATAACATAACATAACATAACATAACATAACATAACATAACATAACATAACATAACATAACATATAACATATAACATATAACATATAGCATCACATCACATCATGTAACACAACATCACATCACAGAATATAACATAACACTTGAGGGGGCCTACAACAAAGCTGGGGATGGACTTTAGGCAAAGACACATATTCATAGGATGAGGGGAATGTCTTCAAACTGACAGAGGGTTGATTTATATTAGAGATTAGGAAGAAGTTTTGCACAATGAGGGTGGGGAGGCCCTGGCACAGGTTACCCAGAGAAGCTGTGGCTGCCCCATCCCTGGAAGTGTCCAAGGCCAGGTTGGAGCAACCTGGATTAGTGGAAGGTGTCCCTGCCCATGGCAGGGGGTGGGACTGGGTGACCTTTAAAAGGTCCCACCCAAACCATTTTAGGATTCCATGTTAAAATAACTCCATGAAGCAGTGGGGCTTATGCTACAAGCATGATACTCCTTCCAGAAGCCAGCAGCAGCTAGAGGCTACAGCTTTTGGGGCCATAAGACTTTATTATTATTCAACACAGATTTCCCTCCACACCAATTCCAAACACCATTCTACCTTCCCATAACATTCAGCTTTCCAGAGCTGCCTTAGGAGACTGACATTTGCATGGGAAAAAGCATAGGCTGGATTTTGAGCCTAGAGCCTGGGGTCTGAGCCAGGGGACTCTGCAGGATGCAAAGTACAGGTGAAATGCCTGTGAAAGCTCAGGTGTGTCCAGGTGAAGGAGCTTAGTGCTAACATCCCAGTAGGTGGAATGATCTGGCACTTTCTGCCCTGCTTGTGGCAGGTCGAAGGGCTTTTCTGTTTCTCCTGTTCGAGACAGAAAGAGTGTGAATTCCTAATTGTCTCCTCCTGCCCCTCAATGAGCTGTTTATAGGATTACAGGCTCTTCCTCCAGACCCAGTATCATGGTCTCCTGCCTGGGCTGAAGCAAGTGGCAGGGATGGGTTAGCAGCAGACGTGCCTCTATGTGTTAATTAAGCCTCAGCTCAGGGTGAGGTGCAGCAGCAGCCACCAGATCCCCAGCACCCCACAGCCCCAGCCCCCAGACAGGCAGTGGTGAAAGCCCAGCTCTCAATGAAGACACTGGGAGCTCTTAAGACATCTTTTGAAAGAGATTAAACAGCCCCCACACTGGATTAGAAAGATGATGCCTGACACATTTAGTTTCCGTTACCTTTTGTGGGCCCGCTCAGTGCACAGACCTGTCCCAAACAGTGCATTATGATGCAAATCTCCCTGAATCCCTCCGGGATTTCACAGAATCCATAAGACCTTCACAGCAGGAAACTCTATTCTTACCCTCTCTGCACACATCCTGCGTAAGCTGTGCCTAAGGGCCATCTAGAGGATGCTGAGCTACAAGAAAGCAAAGGGGTCAGGGGTTTGTGGCGAGAAAAAGAGGAACTTTAATCTTGGGATGCCAGTAAGTGGGGATGAGCAAAAGGGCCTCAGCATTCCTCAGATTTCCCTACTGAAGTATGTTGTGGAGTAAATTAGAAAAATTCCCAGGCTGGATCGTGTGATTAGGAAAAACCATTTGCTGCCAGAGGAATCACTTCATCTGAAAGTGACAAAGAATAGATAAGACTGAGCAAAATAGCCCGTTAAAATACTACGATGAAGTTCCATTCAGTGAAAATATCTTAATACACTTCTTTTCTCCAGTGCAAAGAAAAAGAAGGCTCCGGCGATATTTCCAAGAGAAATATGTATTTAATAGCTCTCATACACTTCCTTGAAGGAAAGTGCTCAAAAATCTGAGCCCACTTTTTAAAAAAGGGGCAGGGGAAAGAAATAATCCCGCGAATCATTTATCTCGCATGTGCTGCGGGGAAGGAACAATTTCTGCCCTCAGCTCATGACCGCAGAGTTATTTTGAGGGAGGTCTGCTATTCAAGCCATGCCGTTCTCTTATTTTTACTGGCACTGGGGAAGCAGGAGGTTGTGTGTGGAAAGGGAAAGGCTTTTTTGCCTCTGCTGGAAGTGCCAGCGCAGCTCGGCCGGCGGAGCAGAGACGAGTCCGCCACGCAGGCTCCAGTCCCCGCTCCCACCCAGCCAGACCAAAACCCAGGCTTGGCCCGAGAAGCTGATCAAACTCCATTTTCTTCAACAAATAAATGAAAAAAAAAAACCCAAAAACCAACTCAAAAAGTCAACCAGCTGGCTGAATCCCAGTTCACCCCCAGTCCCTTCAACCCTTTCCCCCCCAAGCCCCCATCGCTAGAGGAAGCCCAAGCCCGATGGCAGATGCTCAATAGCTTTGCTGCTGGACGTGCCAAAGCAAACAGGGGGAACTTTCAGAGCCCTCCCCACAAGCTTTGCAAACAGAAACAGGTCTTTCTACACACCTAAAATGTTAAAAAAAAAAAGGCTGGCTTTTCAGAGTTTCTACTATTCTCTCTTGCCCTTGATTCAGCTTCACACTCCAAGAGGCTCTGGCAGGCAGAAATGTTAGTTTAGCTGTCACACCCCACAAAAAAAAAAAAAAAAGAAAAAAAAAAGGCAGAATGGTTCATTTTCTCCACTCAAGACGCAGAGAGACTTTGCCACAGACAAAGCTTTAAAAGTAAAGGAGTGGAGAACACTTTATTCAAGTATTCACATTTATTCAAGTATTCACATTTATTCACTGCCACTAATTGAATTCAATGAGAAGCAGAGAAGTTCATTTTTTAGTGCAAACCCTTCCAAGCCTGGGCCAAATCTGACAGGCCAAAACAATCACAGATTTCAGTAGCTTTGTAAGGGACTCTCAGTGCATCTTCATTTCAGTTTATTGATCCTACTCCTTCAGTACACCTTCGTATGCCCATTCTGTGTTCCTCCTTGGCCACTTGGATTTGGAGGCTCTTAATCTACTGAAACCTCAAATAAAATGAACAAAATTTAGGTGCAGTCTACGAGATAAGCAAATCTCTTAGATAAGCTGAGGTTTGCATGCTAAGAAACAAAACATGCTGCTTCTCGTGCTTCTCGGCTCTCTTTAGTAGGATGCAAATAAAAAATAAAAAGGTAGGAGGCAGAGAATTGAAGGTATTTCTTCTGAGCCAAAGAGAGACCAGAGGACAGAAGACATCCATTACTGTATCCATAACCTCATGATCTAGACCACTGCTGGAAGGAGGTTTAACCACTGCAGTTAGTTATACTGCCTTACCATGCCATCACGAAGTTCATGAAGTTTCCTTGATAATAAAGCATCATGCATTCATTTTATAATTGTTGGTAGCATAGGTCCTGAGTAAAGGTTTCCCTTTGATGTGTGTTTTTTTCTGGGTGACTGATCTTTGTGAATAACTCTTCAGTAACATTGCCCTCCAAATGGGGATTTTGTTTTTTAAGCCATAGTATGTTGCAAATTAACCCAGTGGAGTTCACAAGGGGCTTACGGGAGGTGTCAAAAAGAGAGCTTGTATTGTGTCTGGGTTGATTTATGACCATCTTTAAGACTCCACCTTGGCTGCACTTTGCTCAGGGAAACCTGCTGGAGCAGGGAATCAGATGAGGATTTTAGCAGAAACCAAAAAATGAAGGTTTGAAGATCTAACCTCATTTGGTACATTTTACTCCCTGCAAAATCAAATAACACACTGTGCATATGTGGGGGCTCATTTTACTTGTAATTGACTTGCAGGTACAGCAACACCATCTGGGACTGATAGAGAGTAGGTAGCTTTGGGGGATAGCAAATCTTGCACAAAGCAGACACTGCCAAAAGACACAAGAATTGGTATTTCATCCCCTTGAAGTGCTCAGTAGGATGGACAAATTATCCATATGACAGTAATACCCGAACCCTAAGTCACTTTTTCCATCAATATCCACAAGACCTTTCCAAAAGAAATCAAAATAATCATCCATCTGTGGCTTGCATGAAAGACTGTCCGGCAAACCGAAAGCAGAGGAGGGTGGAGGACTCAGAAAGTGGATCCTAATTCCCTGTGAAAGTCAACAGCACCACATCTCCCTTCCCACATTCAATTGAATCAGGAAATTATTTTTTTTTCCTATAAAATGTTTCATACTGACAGACTTGATATGGGAGTCTCCACGTTCCTGAGGAGTCCAGTGGTGCGCTGGCAGTCCATGCTCCGAGGCATCGTGGAGCTCTGCCAGGAGAGAGCAGAAGAGAGAGGTAAAATGAACAATGCCTTCCTGGGAGAAAGTCCAAGATTTGTTTCTTACCTTGGCCAAAAGGCAGGAAGAAAACTTGCTGTTACCCAGGCGGGCAGTTCTGTGGGGAAATGGGACTTCTGCTTTTGGAGTGGAACAAATGGAACAAAAATAAGGATACCACAATGTTCAACAGGAATTCCAGTCTATTTGTTCAGTGATACACATAAGTGCTGGTCAATTCATAAAGTTTACTGTTTTCTCTTAAAAACAATACACTGACATCCGTCTGAGTCCTATTTTAATTTTTTAAACCCAACAGCATAGTTGGGAGAACAAAGGCTATTTTCATGGTCCAAGTACTGGGCAAACTCTGCCAGCCCATGGTTTAAGGAAGAATTTAATTTCTTTTCTCTAACTATATCCTCATAGAATACACCTACAGAAGCTCAAATTGGAGGGAAATGTTGCACAGTCTTTCTCTTGGAAAGGCACATTTGCTTTCTGCCATGGGGTTCCTATAAGGCACCATGGACAAAAGGAATACAAAGAAAGCTTTAGTCCAAATGGACTCTCAAGTTCACAAAATATGTCATATGCATATTACTATTTTAGGGTACTTTTAAATTTAAAAAAAAAAAATAAATTACCCTGTGGGAAAAGCTGGCAGCGTGTCAGCACCACAGAAACCTAATTTTAACTCCAATGAATACAACTATTTACAAGGCCCCCTTTCTGCAGAGGAAAAGCCCTGCCATTGCTGGCAGTTTTGATGTGATATGAACACATATTTCTAAGACATTCAAACGGACTGGCTTAACAAAATACTGTGTTTTTACTCATGCATCTTTAATGCTCAAACTGTTCTTGGCAGCTCCCAGTCAGGAGCACTGTCATTCAAAAGAAGAGAATGACAGACATTAATATGGAAACATTCAGGCTTTTAACTGAGCCGGAACAATAATTATGCCATCCAATTTTGTTTTGAAGAGTATTGACCTTGGTCTCCACGAGCAGATGAGATCCAAAAGACAAAAATATGCACAGCATCAAAACCCTCATTGGAAACTAAAAATATCATCTCAGGGGCTGTGTGGGGGGATTCATGGTATGACACAACAGTGAATCAAGGCTTTACTACGGGAAACCCTAATGCTCTGAAAACACCGTGCTGACACATGGAGGAAACAGCCTCGGAGAGGGGAATTCAGCGTTGCCCAACCTGCGCAGAGCTTTCCCTGAATATAAATAAATTATAGGAACATATGCTCCCTGCACCACTCCCAGGTGCTGGAAGTGCAAGGAACAATAATGAAAACCGAGGCTAGCAGGGAAAGAATCTGTTGTCAAACACCACGCTCGGGGAGCGAGGAGGGGGAACAGCTTTTAATGAAACAGGTCGCGATGGTTTGAGAGGAGCCGACAGCAACAGGGGATGGTGGAGCTGATGTCTCCAAGTCTTCTCAGCCATGGGTAGAAGTGAGGGCTGTAACCCCTTGCAGACAGTGAAATTGTGGTTTATTACACCTATAAAAGCATGCAGGGGTTTTTTTCTGAGACAATAAACAGATGGTTGTCTTGTGCTCAGAAGCAAAAGGGAACAGATTCCTTAGTGTAGACATTAGATACTGATAATATGATAAATTAGAAAGTATCTGTGTGAGTGTTTGGCCAGTTAGGGTTGTATCCCAGTGAAGTACAACCTTCTGCAGCAGCATTCACTGTCCATCACACTCTCCTTCTCAAGAGGAGGAGGAGGAGAAGGAGGAGAAGGGGCAGGGGGACCCAACATGCAAAAGTAGCAACGAAAAAAATTTTTAAAAACCCCAGATATATCACTGAAATTTTACTTTGATCATCCTTTTTATGAAGATGATCTCCAGCTACACTTGCCTGTTCACACAGTCCATTGGGGTGATATCTCATCTCACCCCCTGCTTGTCTGCAATCCAGCCCTCAATGACAGCTAGTGGGTTTTTTAGCTGGTGCCAAGGAGGAAAAAAAGGCTTTCCACTACCCTGAATTGGGCATTTGCAAACACCCTGCTATGTTTGTGTCCCTAGTGACCGACAGTCACCTTACAAACCATGGGGATAAATCCACAAGGTAAACCAAATGGAATTTTCCCTCTGCATGTGCATATGCTACTGCATATGTGTGTGTACTTATACTAATGCAACAGAAATCTCTGTCAAAATCTGAATTATGCTTCCAAGTTGCAGCCCACATTAATTTTTCAGGATTTGGAAACAGGCACTAGTCTTGTCTAGACTAGACTATCGTAATTCTCTGACAAATGGCATTTTTTCCAGCTGCCTAAACAGCCTTCACAAAAGTCCTGTCTCCTCGTGCTTTCCTCCATCCGGGAGAAACTCGAAAACACTCCTGTCTCTCTCCATTTTCTTTGCTTTTAATCTCCTAATTTATAGACAGACACTTGAAATTGCCACACATACATGTACAAGAAAATCCCCAGAAGCCCTAATACCGACTATCTTTGTGCCTGGGCTTAACCTGCAGCACACAAACAGCAGCATTTCCCTGAAGGATGCTATTCATGCACTCCACGATGAAGGATTTCCAGGATCAAAGCCTGAAGATGCAGCCTGTGCACAGGCTGATTTTTACCCATACACCCCAAAAAATTTAGGAATTGTTAGTCAGAGAGGCTGTAGCAGCAGTGTTGTTGTGGCACGGCAAGGCAGGGTGAGAAGAATCATGGAATCAAAAAATCAAGGGAGATGGGACAGAGGTCAAGACTGAGTCTTACTTGGGCTGGCCTTAAATTTTTGGGAGCCCCAGCCATGACATAGTGCAAATTACCACTTTTTGGATCTACTCAGCTACCCCTGCTCTTTGCCAGTTCCCTGGAGAGCTGGTGGCATCCACCAGGCAAAGCATTTCCGAGGCATCCTGGAAAGGGTTTGGATGCAGGATGTGAGCAGAAGTCGATTTTCATGTCTGGAAGTCTCTCTGGAAAGGTTTCAAGTCACTGCCATTTTTTTCCCAGACTGTCCTATCTAGGCAACCTCTAGGGAGTTTGAATAATTTTTTCATCACTGAGTAATTCAAACACATTCTTTACCTTGATGTGCAGCTCCAGTGAAGTCTTCCCTAAATTCCCAGTTTCCTTTGAAGGCATATCTCTATCATCAGCTTAGAAAGTTTCCTGACTCCTGTATGAGACGACAAACTCTTTAAACCAGCACTTCTAGCTGAGATCTCCATTGCAGCAAAGCTGAAAGGGAAAGTCTTTGCAAACACCCCGGGAGCTTCCCATACTGTAGGAATGCAGTCACCCTTATTTTATTTGAATTTGTATTACAAAACCCCTACCAGTGACACACAAAACAGAGCTTTATCTTCCACTAGNTAAAACAGGCACAAAAGAAATCCAGGCAGAAAGGGGTGAAGAGGAAGAAACAGCATAGAATTTTGGGAGTTTGAATTTCCAGGGTAGGTGGAATTAAGTGCCTTTTGGTGAAAAAAAATAGGTTTATTTGTCTGTAAGATATTTGTCTGTTGTACTAAACAACCCTACAGCAACCTGAAAGCTACTTTTTCACAAAAATCCCAGTTCTTGACATAGTTTGGATTTGACCTGATTTCTTCATCAAATAATTCTTTATAACTAACAAATAGCTCAAGCTGCAGGAGGTGGACAGAAGCTATATTTTTAAGGCAAGGGCATCCAGTACCTTTCAAAAAAAAACCCTACTAAAGCACTATTAAAGTTGTAACTAGCACTGTGCAGAGCATCATAGAATGGTTTGGTTGGAAGGGACCTTAAAGATCCCCCAGTTTTCCAGGGATGGAAGGGCACAAGCCCTGCCAGTTGTCAGAGGCAGCTGTGTGTCTGTCTTTTTTGCTGCTAAAAAGCACCATGCTCCAGGAGATGGAATATTCTGCAGACATTCACAGATGGAGGTGCACAGAAAAAAAATAAAAAAGGTGCTTTAACACCTGCCTGTCTGTGCCAGTTTCTTTTTTTCCCCTCGGCTCCTCTGGCTTGTGTTTGGACACTTCCATTCTCCTCCTGGCACACATCCCGAGATAGGCAGTTGGGCTGCTTTCTAGGGAGGAGGATGGTAATTGGGAGACATTCCGCTTTTGATGTGCAGGGCAATTAAATCCTCCATGAATAGAGGGGAAAATGAGCCATTCGGTGTCACTTGAAAGCGGGGATGTGTAGTGCCATTCCTAGGCACCCGTGTGAAATACAGAGGGGCAGAAGGGCAGCCCCGAGCCCTTTATGCGGCAGCCAGAGCCGCCCGCAGATGCAACGGCACAACAGCCCATTCAGAGGGGAGACTATACAATAGGTCATGAGAAAAACCTGTTGCTCCTGATTAAGTTTGCAAATACTGTATCTGCAAGGATTCGGAGACCTCATGAAAAGTCCCAACTGGAATTGGGATGAGCGGCGATTCCGCACCGCCATCAGGTCTTATTCACCCAGCATTCACCCAGCAGCTCTCTTACTCCTTTGAAAGCATTATTGAATTACCATTTTGACAGGTTTTGGCTTCCTTTTAAAGTAGCAGCTAAGAATACACCCTGGAACAATGGGTTTGATTAATTAAAAGAACACGTTCACCCTAATACTCACATTTTTGCATCCGATCTTATGAACATTTCCAAGAAGGAAACAAACTGCTTGGGGTTCATTCTACCTTCAAAAAAGCTAATACAAAGGTTTAGGGGAATGTTAGCAAATCCTGATACTTTCTTAAAGGCCACAGAAATGTTTGCAAAGTGGCGTTGGAGGAAGATGTAGAGGAAACTTCCACGTTAAATAGCAAGGAAAACGGGAGGAAAATGCATAGGATTGTTAGCCAGTTTCTACAGTGTGTTCAAGGCTTCTCAAGCCATGAGTAATGTGGCTTGATCCCATGGCAGATGAGGCCTTATGTAGGAAGTCAAACTATGAAAGTCAGCATTATGCCACCTACAAAGACAAAGAGGCCAAATTCAGAGGCCAAAGCACAGTCTTTGGAAGGAAAAACAAGACAGGTGAGGAGTTTTCTGATTTGAATCTGATTAAAAAAAAAAAAAGAAAGAAAAAATGGAAGGAAAATATTTCAAGTGTCTGATTCGGGAGTGCAAACCCCATTTCTTTCCAACCACTGTGTGCTTTCACAAATCCTGCTCTGAACCATCAGGACTGCAGAGAGTAAGATCAGATTCATACTCAGACATGCATAGTTCCTGCTACCCAGGTACACAGAGTAAGGTGAACCTGCATGTGGAGTAGGATGCCATGAAACACCTGATGCTGTAGCTCTCCTTTCTAAAACACTCCTCTAACAAAGTCAGTTCTCACTGAATGACTTGTGCAGGGTCTAGCTAACTTTATTTTTTTTTTAAAGCTGCTTCCATCTGTGGCTGTTGGCATTTAAAAAGCACCTGAATCCATTTACAAAGCACAACAGAAAATCAGACTGTGACCATCACCTCACTGCAGTGAAAGCATCCTCATGATCAGCTGTTGGGCAGGAGCAGAAGACAATCAA